CTATTGCCACTGTATCCTAGAGGCTGAATCTACCTATTGCCATGAAGATTTACTTCTCCAGCCCATTTATATGAAGAATGCTTCACTGAAAACTGTCAGGATGTACTTTCAAATAAGATTGTTTTAATGCTCTGAGCTGTTCAGTAGCACATAAGTGCCTTTAAAAGTGTCATCCCACAGATGAATAGTGACAGCATTTTTCCCATTCGAAAACCTCACTATGCTATTTCTTTTACAATCTTTCACAAGGCAACAGATATCTGACATTAAAGAATATTCACAATCTGAAATCACCATTTCACTCCATTCCCCATGCCAGCCCTAGGGAGGAAGCCAAAATACTCTGCATTCCTCTCTCTTTGCACAAAGGGCTGCACTGTGACAGAAATGCAAACAGTATATATTGCTTAGTTTGCAAGAAGCCAGGCATAAGAAGAGTGAAAACTCTATTTATCTGCTTGACTGACTACGTACATCTAAACTGAAAAATTTTGCAGGCCAAAGATGGACTTTTGTGTATCTATGGGACACGGTCGCTTTCACACTATACAATTAAAGAACTTTGGTATCATTTTAACTGTCATGTCTTTATCCTAGGGAATCCTGGAATTTGTTCTTTGGGATGCACTAGAGCTCTCAAGCTGAGAACTGGAAATACCTCACAAAATTACAAATCCAAAGATTTCACAGAATGGAGCTGTGCCAGATAACGTAGCATCAAAGTGCTGCAATTGTATAATGTGAAAAAGATGCAAGATTAAAGAGGTGCAGGTGCTATCTTAGAGTCCACTTTAACTGCCCTGGCTCAGTGCTAGGGAATCATGGGAATTGTATTTTTTTCTGAGACATTGAGCCTTCTCTATCAGAGAACTCTGGTGCCACAATAAACTACAGTTCCCATGATTCCCTAGCACTGAGTCAGGGCAGTTAAAGTGGATTCAATCTGCACTATTTCTGGCAGTCTGCAAAGGCCCTTCGTTTCTGACACTGAAGACTCTTCCAACTTCACTGCACTCGAAATAATCACTATTTTTCTATTAATATTAACACAGATCTGCCTTTCCCAACCTGGCTGAGGACAGTGGGAGTTCTGATCCACTACATCAGGAGACTGCTATAGACATTAATGAATCAAACAAATCCATATTCATCTCCTCACTCCTGGGAATCAGAGGAACAAAAAACATGTTTAAGGGGAGGTTCTGTACGAACAAGCACTTGGGAAATCAATATACCAAATGACCTAATTGTGACTCAGTAAGAGGAAGTTACATGTGAACATTATTCAGCAGTGTTGTCACTGACTGTCCAGAGTGCGCACCAGCTGCCCAGCCCAAAAGTTAAATAAAAAGCAGGAACACATGATAATAGAACAGAATTCCTCCCTCGATCCACAAAATATTGATTGGGAAATAGATCTCTCTACTTCAGCAGAGACTAAGGATTCTACTATGCTATGTATTTTCCACAGGTGTTACTGGCCACTTCCCTCACGGGGAAAAACAA